ATGAAATATTTGAGCATGACATCTGTTACCTAATTAATATTAATAAAAATAAAAATGGATTATCCACAACATGCTGATTTTATCACATTAAATATTGTTGAATTTAATGTCATAGTAATTTTCTTATCGACGGACTGTACAAATATAGTATTATGGTACTATCAATTATAAATATTTCACTATAATAATTGTATTATTTATGAGATTGATCTTTTATGCCATATGTTAATATTGCTATAATATCTTTTACCTAACATCTTTATAATAATTTACCATCTTTATAGAAATAGATGGTAACAATCAAATATCATCTATATATCAAATATTCTTATATAATAACTAGTTTCTATAGCATATATATGGGAAAAAAAGACAAATATACCTTCAAGCTATCGTAAATAGTACGTAGATATTCTCCGTCATATTTTTGGAACATTGATGTCCCTATCGTTCAAAAACTAGAAGATATATGCCATTCACTTTAGCGGCTAAATGGGGACACATGACGCACCTTATCCATCGATCTGATATTTAATAAATATCGAATCGGTAGATAAGATTATGACACATGTATGTCTATTAGTATAAAACGTATTTATGCTTTAATTTTTAGACGTCAGGAATACCAATGTTTCAAAAATACGACGGATGGTGTATATATATATATATATAAATTTATAGAGAAATTTTGTTCTATAATATTTAAATATATGAACGATTATTTAAAAAAAGTTTGCATCTCCGAAAAATGAAATATTTCAAAAGTTTGAAAGTCTTTAACACAGTAACATATTATTTATTTGGAAGAAGAAAAAGAAAAAGTTGTCAAAAGCTAAATTTTTATCTTTGAAACATTTGCAATGAAGAAAACATGTGGTTTAATATTGAATCAATCAAAGTGAAAGGTTTGACATTGATCTATCTAGAAACTGAAAAAAAATGATTAAATATTATTTAGTATTATATTTATAATTATAATAATATCGTTTGTTTAAATTAAATTATATCTAAATATGATTGTGCTATATAAAATATGATACTATAGTATAAAAGTTGATTCGACATATGATTGTACTATAAAAAAATATGATATTATAATATAAATGTTGATTCTTAAAAATTGATTATTATAGTCACAAGCTAGATTTAACTTCCAAGAGTCAAATATGAACAACTAATTAATATTTATTATTAGACAGCAATAAGAGTTGATCATATCTTAAAGAGATATAGTATAGTATATAGATATAGACTTGTTTTATTTAACAGATATTACAAATTAATTACTTCATTTCCATGAATCAACCAATGAAGAAACAAAGAACATCTTTTCTTTAATTTTAGAGAAAAGATATAAACTCACTATTAAAGTTATCCACATTTTAATAAAGATATTTTAATTTTGAAAGTGTTTTATCATTCTCACAAAACTTTTTAATATCTTTGTAAATGTGCCATTTTGACTCATTCTCTATTCTGCGTTGTGATCACGCACATGAGGAGCGTGATGTAATGTTTTAAATGTCATTAACCAGTTTAAAAGTGTCACGTGTCATTTTATTTTTCTATCATTAATTATTTTATTAATTTACATCATCTTTCCCAAATTAAAACTCAAAAGAGCCATTGATAGCCCACTTTTCATGATCTCATTTCTTTATTTTATTCAAAACAAGATTCCCGGGGTACTCTCTTTGACGAATTCATCATCTTCCCGAAACGCAATATGATAAGAATTCGTTCTCTTTTAATTTTCAGTAGAAAGATTTTTTTTCTTCTGGATCACTAAAAGTTTCAGATTCAATTTCGTTACAGAAAATAATGAAGAATAAAAGAGTCGGAGAAACAATGTTAAACTGAAAATACACCACTCAGAAAGACAATATAACAATAAAAAAAAGGTCTAGATTAAGATGATTCATCGATCTTCTTTTTCCTATCGTATGCTACCTGAGCTCTCTCCTTCCTCTTTCTCTTGTTCTCGAGTTCCTTGATTTTATTGAAAATGGCTTCATCATGAAAGATTTCCCAAGAGAAGCTTGACTCACTTCTACCTCTTACTTGTGTGCAGCTTGGAGCCTCAATACCTTTTAAGCATCAAGAATAACCATCCTTTTAATCTTGTCATATTGGGGTAGGACACCCTCATAAATCTTGTGATTAAATTTTGATCGAAAATATCAAATTCAATTTCTTGTTGCTCCAAGAATCTTGACAGAGAGAAGAAAATATCAAGAATTTTGAAAGTTGAAAATAACAAAGAAAAAACAAAATTTTCTACTTTAGTAAAGAATCGGGTCGGCTAAACGGGTTGAAAAGAGTGAGCATCACGCGCGTCAACCCAAATGAAGGAATGAGTCAAAATGACTCATTTTCAAAGATATTAAAAAGTTTTGTGGGGTGATATAACACTTTCAAAGTTAAGGTATCTTTATAAAAATACATAACAACTTTAATGGTGACTTTATGTCGTTGCTCTTAATTTTATGATGGAGTAACTAAATTTATAATAATACATGTGAATTATTTGCATGGTCATTCTTTTTCTTGCAAAAATATCAACATTCCGATTATTAAATTAGGTATTTTTTTTATCATTCAAATCGATTCATATACTTTAATAACCAATAAAACTTATTTATGTTATATCTAACTAAGAAAGATATCAAATATGATTACCAAAGTTATCGAAATAGGCTTAGTTCATGGGGCCGGTCTAATTTGACCCGTTTTTCAAGTAAGATTGAGATAAGATTTTTACAAGTTCATTTAAAATTAGGGCTTTTAAGTCTAACTCATATGAGTCTTTAGCTCTTGAATCTTAATCAGGATTGGGATGGGGTCAGCCCACGGGCCAAAACTATTCATTTAAAGGGTAAATGACAGAAATCACATATATTAAGGTAAATTTGTTATTTGTGCCTTATAAATTTATAATTATAGAAATTCCTCAATTGATACAATAATATATGTATACATTAATCTGATGCACGAGATACATTAATAGTTAAGTAAGATATATTATTTTTATGCATGATACACTAATCTGATGCGCGAGATACATTATATCTCGCATATCTTGTATCCCGAATGCATGCTAATTACATTACCTGTAACAGTTCTTTACTTGACATTTTACTAGTGTTATTGAAACAACACCATTATTTTTCATATGTGACTTGAAAATCTTCTCATTTTCTTGATGATATATTTTTTTAAGTTTGAAAAGAAAACAAAAGAACTAGTCCGCTCCACCCTTCAATCCTTATAGTGATTGAGTATTTTCAGACCCTCAAATGAAGGGCTGATCCGCCCTTGCCCTTCAAATTTCTTTGCTTGCGAGGCTTGAACCGAGCGAGACTGAACCGACCCTTTTTGACAATTCTAATAATTAGTATTTAAGAAAATTAACAACAGGTAAAATTAGAATTACATAAAATTTAAATAAGCATACAAATAAAGTTGTTTAAATTTGTTTGCTTAATGTGGATTATTATTATTATTATTTTGGCAATAAAAGATGTACTTAGGCAACAAATCATGTGCTTGTAATTACAACCAAAAAAAAAACATATGCTTCGCAATAATTAATTTTCTTGTTATAATCCGTTGCAGTATCAATACTGTAATCTTTGATTATTAATTCATCAAATTAAGTCTGGAAATTATATTATACATCCAAATTTAAATCATGATTTTCAAATCGTTTTTTTAACAAATCAAACTTTCATGTTTATATTGTGATTTCAAAATTAGTCGCAATAATTTAATTCAAAATTCATTGATTTGTATATACTTTTTTTTATAATTTTTTACATGTACGATTTTCGAAATTGTTCTTTTAACAAATCCAACTTTCATATTTGTATTGTAATTTCAAGATTAATCTCGATAATTCAATTCAAAATTCTTTGCATGTGCTTCTTTTCAATTTTTTACATGTAGAAGTAATTAGTCAAATTTGTATTAAATTAAACATACATATATTTATATTCTACTTTACATAAAACACAAATTGCCACATAAAATATTAGTACATAAGATATATGTATTAATTTACTTAAGTTTATAAATTTAAATGTTTATTTGTAGGCCAAAGTCATATGCGGCCACTCAAACTTGTCCCGATTATTCATTTAGACACCTCAACTAGACGTACTACCTATCGAACACTTCAACCATTCTGAATTTGAACCATTTGAACATTTTTTCGAGAATAAACAAAAAATAGAGAATGTGTGAAATACACTCGCGCTGACATGTCAATTTGACCAATCAAATAATGACATGTGTTATTTTTTAATCCAAAAAATTATTTAAACATTATATTATTAAGTAAAAAAATAAAAATTATTTTAAAGTAAAAAAAAAAAGAAAAAAAGAGAGAGAAAAACCTAAACACCCACTTCCCTGCCTTCAACTGGAACAAAACATACATTTCCTCTAACTCCATTAATGGCGACCCCCCCTTCCCTGTACAGTTATCTTTAACTCGACAAATTTTTTTTTTCATCAGCTTTTTTATTAATTATAATTTTTTACTTCATCTCGTTTTTTAGATAGAGAAAGATGGGGAAAAGAATCTCTTCGAAAAATTTATAAATGAAACAAAAATGCTAAGAATTTTGAAATCATTAGAATGGTGGGGGAAGAAGATAACCATTGATACTAAGAATTTTGAAATCATTAAAATGATGGGGGAAGAATATAACCAATGGTGTATGGGTATGGAGGTTGGGGTGGGGTGGTGGGGTTGATAGAAATAGGGAAGAAGAAGAAGACAACTGTTCTTCTTCTTTTTTATTATTTTTTTTAAAAAAATTAACTTAGGGGTATAAATTAAGAGAAAAAAAGAAAAATATTATTTTTAATAAATTAACGCGCTCAAGAAAAGTGAATTACACGTTTTTTGTCATGTCAGCATTTTGTGTCTAATAGATTTGAACAAATAAAGTGTTCAATTGACACACGGATTAGTTGAGGTATATAAATGTATTATGCCTTTTTTCTTGTAAGTCGTAAAAAACGGGTCGGGGCAATTGACCCATTTCAAATAGTAACATTTCCTTGTGTAAAATTCTCTCCAATCGGACTGCGGCGTTAATCCGTTCACTCTCCGGCGAAAAAATGGAAGCCAATGCTCCTCAGTTTAAGGTAATTCTTTCAGATTATGAAAGATATTCTTATTGTACTCATAGTGAATCGAATTTACTAATTTCTCAGTTCAATTATTGAAATCCTTTAACTCGTTTTTGTTTTTAAGCTAATTTTGGGTTCATCCTCTACTGCTCGGAAAAAGATTTTAGGCGACATGGGATACGAGTTCACAACCATGGTAAATATCTAATTACTTATCAATTAGTTGTTGTTCTGTATGCATATATGATTGAATAAGTTCCTGCTCAAAGTCATTCTAATTGATATATGGTTAATAAGTAATAGATTGATTCAGATACTTATTTGTTTGTAGCAATATCGTTAAGTGATAATGAGTTGGTGTCACTGAGCTTAAATCAAATTATGAAGATCCATAATGTATATATACATTGAATAATAAATGTTTGATTTAGTAGATTAAAAATGTAAGAACATGTAAAGATACTAACAAGTAACACATTAAGGAGCTACTCAAACATCACTAATTAGGACATGAAGTTAATCTGAGTTTCGACATTAGCACCCGAACTCAACAGGTTAGGTTTATTATTATAGAATTAATTTCAAAAGCAAGTGTCAGCTTTTGTATGTAGAAGAATAAGAGATGCAAATTTTACAACATAATTCCATCATCGAACTAAAGCAGCAATTGGTTATTATGATATATTATTTGAATCAATGCCAAAAGCGTGACTACCACTGACCATCACCCCCAAGTCTCAAATAGTCGAGAGCAACACATTCTTGGGCCTTTAGGTGCTTGTTGTTGTTATTATTGCTAGGTGCTATAATTCTATATAAACGACACATATCATGTTTGGTGCTTTCACTGAATGTTAGATAAACAGAGATTCATATAGGATCCCCAACTCGATTGAGTTTTATTGGTGGATTAACAGCTTAGCATGTTCTTGTAATATAGTCTGCAGATATTGATGAGAAAGCTATCCGGAAAGAAAAGCCTGAAGATTTAGTTATGGCTCTTGCTGAGGCAAAGGTTTGTTTTCTTAAGAACTAGTGCTAGTCCACACATCTCTGAACATATTTTTGAAGTCATTTACTGCTTTGAAATTGCTGGGGGTTTATTCATTTTTCATTTACTGTCATACATGACACCGTTGTGATTTTTTCTTGTTTGTGGCATTCGTTTTTGATTTATGAATCACTCTATGCAATTTGTGATGCTTTTCTTTTAGAGTGTCTTGTAGTGATTTCAACCGTAATCTTAATTTTGGTGTTGATGTTATTTGTAAAATTGCTCTATTACCTATCTTGTTGTGATAGTGTATCTGATTTTTTGGCAAATCATTTAGCTAGCGTGTAGACGTAGATTTGGTTGAAACTTGAATTAAAAAGTTTTTGAACTTGTGTTGAAAAATAAATTTTGGAATGTTAAAGTTGAGTTAGCTTGCATTTTTCTTGAAAAGAGTTGAAGTTTGTGAGTGGAAGAAACTGTTTAGCCAAAAATCTGTCCCCGAATTTGATTTTTTCTTCAAAAACTGATCAAATACCATCAACAAACAAGGGGAAAAAGGGCATCCCAATGCTCAAAGCATCCTACATTCACGCAGGGTCCAGTGATGTTTTCGATTTTTCTTTTAAAATCTATGTCCAAACGGGAGCTTAGATTCTATTCCTCGTCTAGTTGAGTTCTTCACACTGCTTCATAGTATAATTGAAGCCTTGTTTTGAAATGCTTATCTTAATTCCATGAAATTGCATTCTGTGTCAGGCCGATGCTATCATATCAAAATTTCGAAAAACTGAAAACCCTGAGAAGGTTCTCAATCCAACAATTCTGGTTGCAGCTGACACAGTATGTCTTGCCTCTTTTGCCTTTTCAATCTCCCCGCCAAAAGTTATTTTTCTGTCTTCTATTTGATGAAATGAGACCTATAATATGTTATTTCTGCCCGCGATTTTGAATGATAATAAAATTGTCTGCCTTTTATTGTATTGTTTTTCTTGCTTTTATGCTTTGTACCGGTCCTTTTCTGTGTTTGCTTTTTTTCTTTCAAAATGATTCAATTTCTTGTTGGGATATTGGAGGATAATTGTGATGTCCACAAGCTTGCATAATTTTACAGTTTTTCTTTTTTCACATGATAAATTCTTTGCATTTATTGGACTTTGCTATATAGTTTCAAAGCATACATCATAATTGGCATTAACCTGAATAGCTGGAACTATAATCAGGCAGAAGCCATCATACCAAGGGTTTCAATTGGAGAATCCGAAGGGGATGCCGAGCCAACACTTCTAATTACGTGTGATCAAGTATACATAATTTCTGTTCTTCTCATCGTTTACGGTTAAATATCCGTTATTGACTTACTATAATGTTTTTTACCATTACATCATCTTTGTTTTCATTTCGTTTTTCCCCCAGCTAAAAATTACTATGTTACTTGAGGTGTTTGGTTCAAATATAATACCTGTCTCATCTTCTTTTGAGCGTAAAGTGGTGCCTTTTCAAATAGCTAATCTAAATTATACAATCCTTCATTCCTTCTGCATGAATTGATAACAATATTTCACAGAGATAATACTATCTTCCTTCAAAGTCCATTGTCAAGATTTGACTAGTGTAGAGCACTCAACGGTGTGACGTAGTGGTCAATGAAGTGGGGAGAACTATGAGGTATCATGTCAAATCCCAACCCCAACTCCAATGTAGGAAAAAATACTAGGTGATTTCTTCGTATCTTCCTAACCCTTAGTGGGTAGATTTATCCATTACCTGTGCGGGTGGGAGATGGAAAGTATAGTGGAATTGTCGAGGCGCACACAAGCTGGCCAAGCACCACTATCATTAGAAAAAAAAGGAAGAAGATCTGATTGGTGTTTAGACATGTACTCCCAGTATTCTCTGTTTTCTGCCATTTATTAATGTGTGCGCTTTTCTATGTTAATGATCTTATCCTAACTTGAAATGGTCTGGAGGTGGTGGTCTATGAAGGTGTGATCAGGGAAAAACCATCCAGTGAAGCAGAAGCACGTCAGTTCATGAAAGGTTTACCATTGCTTTAATCAATTTCTTACTATATTAGTTTTATAATTCTGCTAGTCTTACGCTGTCAACTTCCAGATTACGCCAATGGACATGCAGCAACCGTGAGTTCTGTTCTTGTCACGAACCTGACAACAGGAAGCAGAAGAGGAGAGTGGGACAAAGTCGAGGTACCTCTGTTGATTTCTCTCATTTTCAATTATCAAATGGGTCTCTATGGCTTTTTAGTTTTAGTTTTTTTCAATGGGTTTGTGTCTACTTCCTATCTCAAATTGTTGCAATGCATACCTCTTATTCTAAATCTTGATAAATAATAGTTTTAAAAAGTTCGGCAGTGATGAATGACTTCTACGCGTTGGGTAGGCTTATTGGATACTTCACAAGGTTCCAATTCCCTATAGCCATTCAATAGAAAAGTTATGCAGGGATGATTTGGTGGAGAGTAGAAGTTGGGTGGAATTGGAATTACGTATTTGGATTTGTGGACTGAAGAAAAAATCGACAACTCCTGAAATGATGTTGAAATATTGATGACACTCTACAAATTTCTCTTTCCCACATATTCAATACCACATTCTTAGGTTCTCAAGATTATTACATCTAAAAGCACCTATTGTCTAATGATCCTGGGAAATGTTGTCCTACGCTCGACTTAGCTTAATCAAGTGTTTTAAGCATGATACCGGAAAGCACAAACGAGTGGTAGATGGACCTATTGAGTTTCTTCTTCAACAATTCATTCAGATGTCCACAATATTTGCCTAGTCAAATGTGTACACGAACTGCTTGAGCCTTGAGATGTTCAGCATAATCGCTTTTGTTTTTATTTTTCACTCATCTAGGAAGAGTAATAACATTTCTTTTGATTGCAGATTTATTTCCACGACATACCAGATCAAGTCATAGATAAACTGGTATAACTTTCATCTGAATTGTTAGTTATTGATCATATCAAATGATGGATGCTGTACTTGTTGTCTTACGTTCTTTATTTTTCTTGATCAGATTGAGGAAGGGATAGTTCTTTATGCAGCTGGTGGCTTGATAATTGAACATCCTCTCGTTTTGCCTTATATTAAGGAAGTGGTAAGTGTTACACCACCACCTCTCTCTCTAATGTCACCCAACGTAAATCATAGTCGTGATGGTGTTACACATTTGTTTGTTTGACCCTTTGCCTTTATAGAGACCTAAACTTTTAGTACTTGTTAAAGTTCATCTGATATCGAAAATTCTGCATAATATTAATACCACATTTGGGCAGGTTGGCTCGACTGATAGCGTGATGGGTCTCCCAAAAGCTCTCACCGAAAGACTTATAAAGGAGGTTCTTTAGTATGACTATGATCCTGCTCCTACCTGAATGAGTTCGCGATCTATAATTTTGATATACGCTATTGGAGCTGAAATTATCATTGATTGTTCGCACTGGATGTGCCCTTTAATGAATCCTCGTTAAAAGGATTTAGATTGTATTCGTTCCAATTACCAGACTCAATATTGTTACTCATGTTACTACCTTCATGTGGTATCATCTAACATCTCTTTAACAATCAACTCCTATAACATTATGATGGATCTAAGTGTTGACATATGTTATAACAGTATTTCACTATAACATTCAGAAAAATATGCAAACAAATGATGTATTATAGAATTGTATAGTGATAATACAATATTTTTATTAAGATACTGTTCGTTAATGCAACCAAAAAGAAATTTTTAAAAACTTTTTGCTACTGTTGTTTTTTAGTAAGAATATTGATTCGTCATTCTATTGAATATTACCACTAATGAGCATTCTCCTCCACTGTCCAGTATTAACGAAAACACCTATTAGTGGTAATAAATAGGTATTATTAAAAAAATTTATTGACATTAATTGATTGTCACTGAGTTCAATGTCGTTTTAGATTTTAGAGATATTTACAAAATGTGTTAAATGTCACTAAAAATATATATTTAATAGCATTTAAGTTATTATCATTAATTAATTCTCATCCCATGAAAAAAAAATTACGTACGTATAAGATTAACACTTTACATTATGTTTCAACAATATTCGCTATAATTAATATCGGAAAATTTAAATATGCAGATAAATGATGTCGTTATAGAAAGATTACATTTGGAAACGTACTTCGTACATGTATATATAGTTGCTCAAAGGAAATTTAATACAATGAAAAAACTAAATGTCTTTTTTTAAAAAGCAAAATCAATTATATCCTTCTCTTATTATTAATCATTAATATTAATTTACTGCATATTATGAGTTCCATTAAATAGTCTCTTCTTGCATTCATTGGAGCTTCAAATACTTCAGCCTGTCAAAAAAAATATAATGAACGTGTCATAAAATGTAATTATGATATATAAGATAAATATAAGAAATAGTTTATAAAATCGAAATTAATAAGTCAAATTATCTGATACAACATGTTAAAAAAGTACGTCGACTATTATTATAATTTAGTTTACCTTTGTTCTTCATCCATGAAATTGTAGCCTTTATTATTACGACCACCATTATAATTAGGTAATGGAATATTTCCAGATTCGATACGCTTAATATCTTCAACAAGTTTTTCATAGTGATTTTTCACTTCTTCTTCTGTTTTTCCACCAACTGCATTGGCTAATTTACGCCATCGATCTGGTGTATCGATGTCGTAAATGGCCAATGCATTCTCAAATAACTTGTTTTGATGATGACTCCACGTTGAATTTGTGGCCATAATTTGCAAAAAAAAAAAGAGAAAAATGTATGTAATAATAAAAGAAAAATGTAGAGAAGGTTTTGGTGTGATAAAAAAAAGTTAACATATTTGTTCTATTTATATAGCAAAAAAAAATCATATGGGAGACAGAATATGGTGGGCCGGTGAAGAAAATACTCTCTTTTTTTCAAAAAGAAAATTAAATTATTTTTGAGTTTGATATGTTGTTAATGATTTAAAAAACCAGAAGAAATTTTGTAAATCCAATGTGGTTTTATTTTCAACTAGTAGTAATTAATTAGCTAATTAGACATGGAAATGTGTTGATTTAACCGTTGTTCGACTTTTTCAAAAATATTATCGCGCTATTTATATCATATTCTAGAAAATGTATTACTTTTATAAAGGATTCGACGATCAATGCATTGTATAGTATTTGTTCGATTTTTTCAAAAATGTTATCGCAATATTTGTATCATATTCTAGAAAATGCATTACTTTCATAAAAGATTCGACGACCAATACATTGTATAGTATTTTAAAAAGGAAAAATCTTTTTGGCCAGAATGATATTTTATCTGTTAAATATTTTCATCCTTTTAACTTAAGTACTTCTTAATTAAAAAATTTAAAAAAGATTCATTTATTTTAAAATAAAAAAAATTATAGTTTCTGATCAAATTTTGGCCAAAGTTTCTGATCATTTAGCGCTTTCCTTTTAGAAAAGTTAGATAGCAATATTAAAGAAATACAAATTTAAATTTTATTTATTTTTATTAAGATTAAAACGTTTAAATCTAAATAAACATAAGAATATTAAAATACATATATACAATACACTTGATTACTTTGGGAAAACATTTTAGCCATGTTGAAATTGAGACATAATTATTTGTATAAGCGACGATAACCATCAAAATTTACTTAAAACTGAGATATAATTATTGTATAGACAAAAACAACTATCTAAATTTACTTTGAAATTGAGACATAATTATGGTTATTAGCTGAAAATACTGATAACCTAGACAAAGTTTTCTTAATCCAAGAAAAGTTGTACTAACCCCATAATTACTGTTTTTTTTTTTTATAAAAATATTATTTCAAACTTATAGCTACATTCAAGTAATTCATGGCATTTCTTAGTTGTAACGTAAAATATAAGTGTACACTTTTCAATGTGTTAAAAAGCAAATGGTAAAATTATTTTCCTGCGGCTGAAAAGTGGTTGAATATGATTTTTTGATTTTTCATGTTTCAAAATTATTTTGAAAATTTTGATATTATAATTAATATTCGTTTTGAAAAATTATTCTCATGTTAATATTATGATATTAATTGAGTTTACAGCTACATATTTAGTAGATTTTTAATGTATATTTTTAGTTTGAATAAAATTTATTTGATTTATGTAAATTTGTAATTAAATTTCTAGATCCGCCCGTTTGACGACAAATATATGAAAAGTAGCTTTTGCTTTTTTACCTTTTTTGTTAAAAAATTTAAACGTGATAAGGTATGCATTTATTTCACTTTCTTATTGCTTATTTAAACAAAATTCCATATAAGTTTTAGCTGGCTAATTAGTTTCTTTTATTCCGTACAATAGCTGTATATTTTTTTGTTTGTTTACGTTAAGTCCAGCTAATTCAAATTTATGTCGAATAGGTTTACTAAAATTACGATAAAATGTTTCTCGATAAAAAACTTTTTTCTTTTCGTAAGTTAAATTTCAAACCCTTTAATTAAAGTGGGATGGGTTCATACCATGGACGATATATTTGTTTTGGTTCTCCAACTAGTCCTTGATAATTTTCGTCTTGCAAAAATAAACTTTTGTATTAGTCATTCGATGTTCGAAACTTACTAATTTATGTTAGGTTAATAATGTCACCAGGACTAGTGAAACTTATCCTAACATAAAAACCGTTTGTTCTAATAAAAACTCAAACTCAAAATTTTTAATAAATAGTACTATATTATATAACCCTTGTACATTCTTTTATTATATTTATAATTATTATCATTTTGCATTATAACCAGTCTCGTCCGTTTTCAATCTTTGTCTTCTAATTGTTTTATTTATATAAATTAAAAAGAGTATTAGTAATAACACTTATCTGGAACGAATTTTTTACATTATCATCCGATCATATTTATTCGTTTTAACAGATAATTTGTCTAATTTTTAAAATTATAACTTGATATTAAATTTTTTTATATATAACTATAAAAAGAGAGAAAAAAATTAAAAATTGTTGGAGACCGATTGAATCAAGAAAAGATGATATTATAGTCTAAATGTTAAAAATAATATGCCAATACCAACTAAGGTCATGGTGGATTAATAAATATTTTGAAGTTACTTTTATTATCAATTTTTCCTTAACTTATTTCACGTTATATAAATAAAATATTTTATTTTTAACATAAAATTTTTGATCGTGAATTCAAATTTAATCAGGTTTCGTGATCTCGAACTGATGTACAGTTGGAATGGAATCCTTATCATCCACGTTGGTATCCAGTAACACTTTTTATATTTATGGATACTTGTTATGTCCTTCTCACAATTCTTTAAAATCTTAAGTATTCTTCTTTTCCTTTCTTTTCTCATTGGCTCACCAAAAATAATTTTGCAACTTGAAGTAGGGATTCTTGTTTTATATACTTTTGAAATAAAACCATAGATATTTTTTTTCAACTTAATTAATTGGCTGTCATTTTTACAAAAAAGAGGTAGTACCACAAGCAAAAATTGCAACATATTTGACCAAAATGTCCAATAGATGTTTGAGTTAATTTCATGCATAGTCTCAAAAGTTGAGTCTGAAGAAGAAGGTATAATGTACGTTCATACTCGTAGATTTTATAACTATAATAATAATATGATATAGTCTCAAAAGCTGAGTCTGAAGAGGGTATGGTATACGCAAATTTTGCCACTACCTCGAAGAGGACAAAGTTCCAATAACCATATTAAAATCCTTCAATATAAATGGGACTTTTCTTAAGTTCATTTTGGGATTTTGGATTTTCAAATTTCTTAGGTCACTGTCCCAAATTATGATGAAGATGCTCATGATAAATTCTATGAGCATTTTCATAGAATTTCAACTTTGCAACTTTCTTGGGAACCTTTTTAAAAGTTTGATATATATATATACTTCAAGATACCTCATGCTACTGATAATTGGATTCCTTATAATCCTTTGAGTCTTTTGTGGTACTTCTATGGTTATTTCTCCCACTTCTTTGTCAAAAATATTTGAGGCAAAAAAAAGTGTATCGATTTTGACAGTATTGATCTCAAGTCAATATACAAAAATAAGTAGATTCGTAGTTAATTATATATCTAAATATCTATATATTTACTGAATTTCTTAATTCGATCATATAAATTCATAAACGAGACTCTAGATCCGCGCCCAGTTGGAGGGTGTCTTAAGTTATTTTCCAATGGTCCCTTCTTGCATGCAATTTGAAACCTTACCTTTTCTATGCTCTTCTATGGTCCAAAATGTGAAATTCTCTAGATTCTTCCCAACTCAAAGGCTAATATTGTTATTGCATAAAAAATAAGGCAGTGTTTCTTTTTTGTTGTAATTGCAAAAGAAGGGAAGTACCTATCTTTGATTATTTTCTGTATATGAAAATTATGTGTGCGAAAAAAGTTCTATATTGAAAATTGCTATGATTATTAAGAAAAAAGTTCCATGAATAATCAATGATGATCTTCGTATATCATATCAGTTAAAAATAAACAGTAAATCTGGTCAACTATTATGTCAAGATCCTTAAGTGATCATCTTACCTTTGAGGGAACTGTCCAATGAAGTAGAATAGAATTTGCCTCATCCTTTTGCTTATAGTTGAAGGATGTGATTCCTCAGTAGATGTGTCATGCAAA